CAAGGCAGCTGAAGTTCTTCGGCTGCAATGGATGGGGGGTGGACTCCGAGGACGGCATTCACTTTATAACTGCTAATAGCATCCGCGACTGCATCGGTGTGAATGCCACTCAGACCTGCCTGATAGGCTTCTTGATCTAGAGGCTCTCTCTTGTAGCGCTGGACCTCCCTCTCTAGATCATGTATGTCCTTCCTGACACGCCTGGGTGGGGGAGATTTATCCACCATATGATGGTTGGGATGACTCTCACGGTAACACCCAAGCAGGTACTGCAACGAAAGCACATGATTATGCTGACGTAAGGGAAGGACTTTCGCCTCCTCATGTAGATGGTCCACTGGTGTCATGAGGAGGCACCCTGTCGCAGTTCTCAGGGCAGCGTTCTGGCAGGTCTGGATATGCTTCCACTGCGTAGCACTAGTATTCGCAGACCACACTGGAGCCGCATAGCTGACCACAGACCGACCTATCGCGTTATAAGAGGTCAACAAGGTTTCTTTGTCCGCACCGCAAGAGCTGCCGGCTAGCGCCTTGAGGACCTTTTCATCTTGTCGCAGATAGCTGTGGCTTGCGCGGACGACTTGAACATGCTGTTGAACGTTACCCCAAGAATCTTGGGGTAGTTCGTGGTCGGTATTAGATTCCCCTCGACCTGAACATTCAGCTGTGTTCTCATCTCCGCAGACCATGTGGTAAAGAGTGTGGCCGTTGATTTCGTGGCGGATATTTTCATATTCCTCGCGTGGAAGTATGCGGCAAGCTCCGCGAAATAGGGGTTCAACCTTTCGCATATGTCATCGACCACTGGACCCGACGCCATGATCGTACAATCATCCGCATACGTTACGATCTCAATGCCGTCTGGAGGGCGAGGAATTCCGGAAAGGTAGAAGTTAAACAGTTCCGGAGATATCACCCCGCCTTGGGGAACTCCCTGTTTCACTCTACGGGCTTTGGACTTCTTGTTCCGGAATTCCACGTACGACTGGCGTCCACACATATAGTTGATTATCCAACATTTCAAACTTGGCCGGAGGGTAGTTCTCTGTACGTCCTCAAACAGTGTGGCATGATTGACCGTATCAAATGCCTTTGATAGGTCAAGGGCTACCAACACTGTTCTGTCACACGGCCTGTTCTGGTTCAGTCCTCTACTAATATGTGTGGAAATGGAGTGTAATGCTGTTGTGGTACTATGTTGTGGACGGAATCCGTGCTGGTGGTTGGCAACTGTATAGCTTCCTCTAATGCTGGGGAGGAGTAAAGCCTCAAGAGTCTTTGCTACTGGCGACAAAAGCGAAATCGGCCTGTACGATTCGCCTTTACTGGCATCCTTGCCTGGCTTCTGTAGCGGGACCACCCGACCCATTTTCCAGGTTTCGGGCACTATGTGGGTGGCTAGCGACAAATTGAGAACTTTCGTTAAGTACTCGACTCCCGGCGTATCCAGCTGCTTCAACATTACCATTGAGATTCCGTCCGGGCCCAACGCTTTGGATGACTTAGCGTTACGGATGACATTTGCAACATCACCCATCGTAAACTGTGGTGGTTCCTCCTCGGCGGGAAGAGATCTGATACGACGTAATACTCTTCGCTTCGCCCTATCGCTCTCGGGGTGCTCGACAAATTGTCGGTTAAAATATTCCGCGCACCTCTTCGGATCAGTCACCGTTACGTCGTTAAAAGTGACTGAGGTCCTATCATCCTTTTTTCCAGGGTTCGAGAGCGACTTAACCGTTACCCACAGCTTACTCATATCGGTTCCAATGTTGCAGCACTTCAGATGGTCTAGCCACTTTTTCCTCTTATGCTCCTGTACCAACCGGTTGACTTCCACTGTCAAATCACTGATTCTAGGATCAGTAGGGTTGGTACGACGGAGATCATCACGCTCGTTTGCTAATCCCGCTGCCTCTGCTGGGAAGTTTGGTCTTATCTCGGGTATTCGACCAGCAGGTATATAGCGAGCGGCTGCAGCTCTGATGATGTTTCGGAAAATCCTTTCTGCTACCCGAACATCAGAAGGGTTGGGCAGTTCTCTGAAGCGGCGGTTGGTGAATTCTCTGAACTCTGGCCAGTGAGCTTTCCCATGGTTAAGGAAAGTGCGGCGTTCAGAGGTTATGAAATCGGGCGACCTGCTTATGGAGACGATTATCGGGAGATGGTCTGAGCCAAGAGAAACGACGGGTTGCCAAGTCACGTCATTTATCACACCGGGTGACACTATGGTTAAGTCTGGCGAACTGTGACACTCTCCTCTTATTCGGGTGGGGGCATCCTCGTTAACCGTGCAGAATGTGGAGCAGTTAATCTGCTCTGCCAACGCTGATCCCCTCTGGTCATTACCTAGGACGGAATGCCACAACTCGTGGTGGGCATTAAAATCCCCTAGTACCAGGTGGTTATTGCCTACCAATAATGGGCTAATATCAGGCAAATAACGTGGTTCACAGCTATTAATCGGCGGGATATACACATTAAGCACCTCTACCTCGGCAGTTCCACACTTGACTGCTACCCCCATATTTTCCATGTATGGGTCACTAGAGACTAGCTCAAGCGAGATAGGTCTGTACTGAACAGAATGGTGTAACAGGAACGCTAATCCCCCACCTCCACTTCTGGTGCGATCCTTTCTTAGTACGTTGTAACCATAACAACGTTGTAGGCTGCAATTTTCATTCAGCTTGGTTTCCTGCACCGCTGCGATCTTAATACTCCTCCGACTCATAAATTCCACTATATCATCTATTTTGCCTCGAAGTCCGTTGCAATTGAATTGCAAGAATGATGCACAATCCGGAGTTGGAACAGCAACATGTAGCATTAGGTGCTGCGGTGTTGGTTGCTGTTCTGGAGACTGCGGTGGAGTGCCATACTCCGACGACGTCTCTGACGAGGACGACGAAGAAGTGGACTCGCTGGGGACTACGTTACTGCAGCAAGTCGCAACATAATCCCTTTCGCTGTAGTCTCGCAAACGCCTTAGTCCGGAACAGTTCTTGAAGTGCACCCACTCTCTGCATCCGTTACATCGCACCGAGACAGATCTGTGGTGGATGACGTTCTGACAAACCGAGCAGAACCAAGGTCCGGGGTTTTCCTCAATCCCGGCACGGACCAATAAAATCCGGAGCAAGCATTCCGGGATATGCTGCTCCCAATGCAGAAAAATAAACAAACTTATGGTTGTTTTTTTTATTTGCAGTGCGAGTTTTTTTAGTAAGCAGGCGTTCCTTTTATACTGATTGATAATTTGTTTTCTTTATTTTACAAGAAAAAAAAATATATATATATATTTATATTTATAAATAAATATATATATATATATATATATATATATATATATATATATATATATATATATATATATATTATTATCACTCAGTATAAAAGGAACGCATGCTTACTAAAAAAACTCGCACTGCAAATAAAAAAAAACATAAGTTTTAATTACATGTAGTTAGAAGTAGTATCTTGAAAAGTAGACATTTAAGGGAAATCAGCCAAGTAAAATAAATGACAACTTTAAGTGTTCTTAACAACATATCAAGAACACGTTATTAATTTATTGCTTTATTATATAATTTAAAATTATATTTTATAGCTGCACCCTTGGTACAATTTTTTTTCTAAGTGTGCCCGACTTCTGCCAATTTTGTGTATGTATTTATTGTTTTGAAAAATAAAAACAATATTTTCAAAATCAATGATTGGAAGTCGCGAACAATACGGGACGCGCATTGAAGCTATTCGCCAGTTTTCCCATGTAATTCAAAGATCGAACTATTTACATCATATTCTTGAAACAAAATCCAGGCATTTCATTCATTTTTCGCGCTGTTTAACTGATTTTAAAAATATTGTATAAATGAAAACGACTTGTTTGTATGCAAATTTTACAGAAAGCGGGCATAGCCTCAGGGCTGTATTTCTGTAGTTTTATGAAGCTTATTGTCCTATATTCTAATTACAGGTAGTAAGAAGTTACAACATGGTATGTAGGTCTTAGGGGAAGCCAACCAAGTAAAACAAATGGCAATGCACAGGGGCAGTACCTCATGTGTTGTGTGGAAATCTGTCACTATAATCAATAAAACAACTATATAAAACATATGCTCAAAACATTTTAAAATGACTACAAAAATCTTTAAAGTCCATCCACTTAAAGTTTTGTAGTTATTTTTTATGCTTATCCTTATCGGGTACCATGGTAGAATAATACAGTTAACAGCAAGTGTAGTTGTACAACAATCGTAACAACAACCAGATAGATATTTGTTTTTGTACGTAATACAAGTGTCAGAGTTATGTGTCCAAATATGTAAACAAAATAATTAATTTTGAATAAATTATTCGGGGCTATACGATATCGTGGACCTATATAGACAATTATCTTTCAGGCGGTAAAGTACTCACAAATGACTCCTTGTGTAGAATTTCAGAGAATTCCATATCGGGGGGTACCGTTATATGGGAGCTATACGATATCGTGGACCTATATAGATAATTCTCTTCCAACGGCTAAAGTACACACAAGGAACTCCTTGTGTGGATTATCACACAATTCCGTTGAAAAATGTGTCTAAAGTATTAAAATACCGAATGTGAGGGGGGGGGGGGTTACCGTTATATGGGGGATATACGATATCGTGGACCTATATAGATAATTCTTTCAGGGGGTGAATTACTCATAAGGGACTCCTTGTGTGGAACTTCAGAATATTCCATTGAAAAATGTGACCAAAATCATCAAAATACCGAATATCGGGGGAACTGTTATATAGGGGCTTCACAAGGAACTCCTTGTGTGGATTTTCAGACCGTTTCATTAGAAAATGTGGCTAAAATCGTCAAAATACCGAATATCGGGGGATACCGTTATATGGGGGCTATACGATATCGTGGACCGATATAGCCCATCTTCGAACTTGACCTGCCTGCCGACAAAAGAGAGAAAGATTAGTCAATTTTGACATTGAAATGAAAAAAAAAACTGGGTTTATCTTTCTTCGTAAATTGTAAAGATTCTAATGAAATTTAAAACCATCAATTGTTACAGAATCACATTGCTTTACACTTTGGGAGTTTTCGTTTGTCATGAGTTAGCGGTAGTCGGTTCTTCAGATTCGCATCCAAGAAAAAAGGGTGGTATTTTTTAATCAAACATGTAGCCATCTTACCACCATCCTTGAATCCTTTGGTATTAGATTCATTCATGTCTTCAGAACATACATCGAATGGTGGTTTTCTGCCTATACAAAGAATGAAATCGTTAGTTAAAATAACGTTGTGTATAGATTTTGTTTGCTTACTTGTACCGGTGGTCTTCACCTTGTCAGCACTCATTTTTTTATTCCAAATTGTTCTTCTTTTTTGTTTCAAATTAAAATTGTTTGACAAAAAACGTGCTAGTTTTATTGACATTTATTAAAGTTGTCACTGCAAATTTCAGATCATTAAGCTCGTCTCGAAAGAGAAAAAACAAACACATAAATCATAAAACATATGATCTTCGCCTTAACAAGGCAAAACTCAAAAAATTCAGCCGAGCCTGGCTGTGGGATTTGAACCGCGGACCTTGGTGTGCAGCCAACTAGAAGTTGCCGTCTCTACGTTCAGAGCCATTAACCCGTCTTCCTAAAGCAGCACTAAAACAAGTGTATGCATTGGAAGCAATGTAGTTGTTGTGGACAAAAAATCCATCACTACAAAAACAAAACTTTGCTGTGAAAAAATATCTGCCAATAGAACTTGAGTCGAACCTGGAGAGTTTCTAGTGTATAATTCGCATATGCTAATTTGTGTTAGAAAATGTAGGTATCAGCTGGTTTTACTTGTCGACCCTATAATTGGGCCATGGCTTTACTAAAATCACTATAAATTGTGTCAGTTTGTTTACGCTGAACAAATCCTTTTGTTGTAGTTGAAAGGCCACTACGAAAACCATGCTGATACTGAACAATTTTGGAATGGCACTTAATTTTGCAATTCCTCTATAATTTGACACATTTGTAAGACTACCAGACTTATGTAAAGGTATAATATATGATTTTTTCCAGAAAGTAGGAAAGTGATAAAATTTAAGTGAATAATTAAACTATATGTAATATAATTTGAAGTTAGAAACAAGAAAATATAATTTTTATTTTCATCAATTACAAATTGCACATATACAATTTCATTTCAATTGAAAATTCAAGAGTTTCCAAGTTTTTAAATCCTTTCGACTTCATAGATCAATCGTCTCATAAATAACAGCTGCTGATTAGCCGATACACGCCTTCAACCTAAACCTGCATACAGTTCTTCAACAATCCCACGGCGGCCGGTTCTATGTACCGGATTGACTCGGAGGCACATTTCTCCGACCAGGGGCCGCCAACCCAGCAAATACATGTTCGTGTTCGTCCATTTTTCTGATGTGGGAGCAACATTACCCGGAATGTTTGCTCCGTATTCTCTTGGTCCGAGCCGGGATCGAGACCAACCCCGGACCATGGTTCTGCTCCGTTTGTCGTAATCGCATCCACCACAGATCGGTTTCGGTGAGATGCAACGGATGCATGGAGTGGGTGCATTTCCGGAATTGTTCCGGCCTAAACCGGATACAGGAGTATAGCGATAGGGACTACATTGCTTCCTGCTGCGTCAATGTAGACCCCAGTGAGTCTTCATCTTCGGCGTCCTCATCGTCGTCGCAATATGAGACTCCCCCGCAATCTCCTCAACAGCAATCTACGCAGCAGTTGACGCCACACATTGCTGTTCAGGTTCCGGATAATGCATCATTTCTCCAATTTAATTGTGATGGTCTCAGAGGTAAGATCAACGAAATTGTAAGCTTTATGAGTCGGAAGAATATCAAGGTCGCAGCGATCCAGGAGACGAAGCTGAGTACCACCTGCACGCTTCAAAGTTGTGATGGATACAACGTACTGAGGAAGGATCGCTCTAGAGGTGGAGGTGGAGGATTAGCGTTCCTATTGCACCACTCTGTCCAGTACAGACCTATCTCGCCTGAGCTTGACTCTAGTGACCCGTACATGGAATGTATGGGGGTAGCGGTCAAGTGTGGATCCGCCGAGGTAGAGGTGCTCAACGTGTACATTCCGCCGTTAAATAGCTGTGCCCCACGTTATATGCCTAATATCAGTTCACTACTGGTAGGCAATAACCGTCTGGTGCTAGGGGATTTCAATGCCCATCATGAATTATGGCATTCCGTCCTAGGTAATGACCAGAGAGGCATGGCGCTGGCTGAGCAAATCGATAGCTCCACGTTTTGCACAGTGAATGAGGACGCGCCCACCAGAATAAGGGGAGACTGCCACAGTTCTCCGGACATATCCATCGTATCCCCAGGTATGACGAATGACGTAACATGGCAATCAGTCATTTCTCTAGGCTCAGACCACCTCCCCATTATTATCGCCATCAATAGACCACCCGACTTCATCGACTCTGAACGCCGCACTTTCCTTAACCACGGGAAAGCTAATTGGCAAGAATTCAGAGAGTATACCAATCGCCGCTTCAGAGAACTGCCCAACCCATCTGATGTTCAGGTAGCAGATAGGTGTTTCCGTGACATCATCAAAGCTGCAGCCGCTCGCTATATACCTGCTGGTCGAATACCTGAAATAAGACCAAATTTCCCAGCAGAGGCAGCGGGATTAGCAAACGAGCGAGATGAGCTTCGCCGTACTAACCCTAATAACCCCAGAGTCAGGGAACTTACTCTGGAGGTAAACAGGTTAGTAGGTGAGCATAAGCGGAAAAAGTGGTTAGAACATCTGAAGCATTGCAACATTGGTACCGGAACGAGTAAATTGTGGGCAACGGTTAAGTCGCTTTCGAACCCTGGAAAAAAGGACGATCGGACATCTGTCTCACTTAACGGCGTAGAAGTGATCCGAAGAGGTGCGCGTGTTATTTTAACCGGCAGTTTGTAGAGCACCCCGAGAGTGACAGGGCGAAGAGAAGGATACTACGCCGTGTACGATCCCTTCCAGCCGAGGAGGTACCACCACAATTTACGTTGGCAGATGTTGCACAGGTCATCAGAAGCGCAAAGTCATCCAAAGCGCTTGGTCCTGACGGAATCTCAATGGTGATGTTGAAGCAACTGGATGAACCAGGAGTTGAGTATCTGACAAAGCTTCTCAATCTGTCGTTAGCCACCCTAGTAGTTCCCGATGCCTGGAAAATGGGCAGGGTGGTCCCGCTACTGAAGCCAGGCAAGGATGCCAGCAAAAGTGATTCATACAGGCCGATATCACTTTTGTCACCAGTAGCAAAGACGCTTGAGGCTTTACTCCTCCCCAGCATAAGAGAGTGTTTCCCCATAGCCGATCATCAACACGGATTCCGGAAATTGCATAGCACAACAACAGCTTTACACGCCATTTCCACACATGTCAGTAGAGGTCTCAACCAGAACAGGCCGTGCGATAGAACAGTTATGGTGGCACTTGATTTATCAAAAGCCTTTGATACAGTCAATCATGCCACACTGTTCGAGAACATTGAACGCACCACCCTCCGGCCAAGTTTGAAACGTTGGATAGTAAACTACATGTGTGGACGCCAGTCGTACGTGGAATTCAGAAACAAGAAGTCGAGCATCCGCAGAGTTAAACAGGGAGTTCCCCAAGGTGGGGTGATATCTCCGGAACTGTTTAACCTCTACCTTTCTGAAATTCCACGCCCTCCAGACGGCATAGAGATTATTACGTACGCAGATGATTGTACGCTCGTGGCGTCCGGACCCATTATTGATGACATTTGCGATCGGTTGAACGCTTACCTTGTTGATCTTACAGCCTTTTTCACTGCGAGGAATATGAAGATATCCGCCACTAAGTCGACGGCCACACTTTTCACCACATGGACTGCGGAGATGGGGCTATCCTTGAATGTGCAGGTCGATGGTGCTATTATTCCGACCACCAACTACCCCAAGGTACTAGGGGTCACATTCGATAGCCTCTTTAAGTCGTCCGCGCATACCACAGCTATCTGCGACAAGATTAGAAGTAGGAACAAGGTCCTCAAGTCTCTGGCCGGCAGTACTTGGGGAGCAGATAAGGAAACCTTGTTGACCTCTTACAACGCGATAGGTCGGTCTGTGGTAAACTATGCGGCTCCGGTGTGGTCCGCTAACGTCAGTGCTACGCAGTGGAAAAATGTTCAGTCCTGCCAGAATGCCGCCCTTAGAACCGCAACAGGGTGCCTTCTCATGACACCTGTCGATCACCTACATGAGGAGGCGAAGGTCTTACCGGTGCGACAGCATAACAAAATGCTCAAATGCAATACCTGCTTGGGTGTTATAGACAAAGCCATCCAAACCACCATCTTGTGGATAGGCAACCTCCGCCCAGGCACGTTAGGAAAGACCTTCATGATCTAGAGAGAGAGGTACAGAGGTATAAGAGAGAGCCTCTAGATCAACAGGCCTATCAAGCGGGACTGAATAGTATTCACTCTAATGCGGTCTCAGAAGCCATTGAAGGATATAGAGTGAATACTGTGCTAGGAGACCATCCCCCTCCCGTCGCAGCTGAAGAACGAGAGCTGCCCTGACAAACCCGAGTAGTCTTGGCTCAATTACGATCCGGATGGTGCAGCCGCCTAAATTCCTACTGGGCCCGGATCAACGGCGACGTGCAGAACATCTGCCCAGCATGTGGCACAGGCCCACATGACACGCTGCACTTATTTCGCTGCCCAGCCAAGCCTACTCACCTAACTCCAGTCTCGTTATGGACACAACCCATACAGGTTGCATCCTTTTTGAGACTGGACTTAGAGGCAGAACCCGATTGAACTGAGTCAGAAATGGAAACCAAACGAACACAGATGTATGAGCTGCTACAACAACAACAACAGTTCTTCAAAGATGACGTTGAGATGTTTTTTTTGCGTACATTTCTATTTATTAACATACGTACATTTAATAACATAGGTACGATTACATTTACATAGTAAAAATATACCCTACTAATTTACCCATACATATATAACAATACATTAAAAGATTACACAATAAATGACATAACAAAGAATTGCAATATCCCAGAATTTAGAGAAAGCCAACATTTTGCCCAATATAATAGATGCGATGGTTTAGTGTCTTTGGCTATTTATTATGCGACTGCTTTAACTAGAACATATTCATTGTTTTGCGCTGTTGGCGTTGGAAGCACATTTACGTTTGTCGGCTAGCCATTTTTCTATTTCTTGTTTCAGTTCAACATTCGGCACCACTTTGTCCATTGTTAATGGGGCTCGGTTGAAGGGATCCGTTTGATCACTGAGTAAGTGGCGAGCTATTGTTGACTTATCTACCGTTACCTTTGAGCTCGGCAAAATGACCGGATCGGTCATTAAAGTGGACATAATTGGATCCAAATATTCGTCGGGGGCATCGGCCATGAATTCTTGTTCTTGTTTATATTGTTTTTCCAATCTCTGAACTTTATCCGAAAACTCTGCCATTTCGCCAATTAACTGCCCTCCTCCTATGCGTATAAGAATATTTTCTGCATAGGTAAACAACTGTGAGCTGTAAGACCGTCCATCTTGCGATACTGCCAGACAAAAGCTATCGCTGCTACTCAAATTGACATAAATGTGACAAATTTCCATCACTGTTTTGGCCGGATCAAATTCAAACTCTTTTTTATCCTTGACTTTGAACTTCTCTTTTTGGGGACCGACTAAATTTAGTAGGAAATAATTAAGCATGGATGTAATGCGATCCACCATACTATTATGACAGAAAATACTCTTAATTTCTGTAGTAATCAATTTAAGAATGTTGATGGTGTCACGCCCCAGTATGTTATCGAAACGCGCCAACATTCCCAAATGCTGAAGATTGGACAAGTATTGTTGACGTTCATTTTGGGGCAAATTATCCCATTCGCCATTCCCCTGAGCCTCTTGTAGTTGTCGGATTTGTTGTAAGTTATTAAGCGATTCATCTAGAAAAAATACCAATGATTAAACCAGAGTGGAAGGGCAAGTTCATTACTTACCTAGTAGAAATATAGCATCATTAATCAGCAAGTTTATAAAACGTAAGAAAAGTGGAGGTTCAATCGCCTCCATGTTGGCCTCGGCTTCGGCAGCCAATTTGCGAAAGTTTTGCACGTACTCCTCCTTAGTCCACAGAAATTCCATTATGGCATACATGGGGCGGCGGTAGTTGAATTTTTGTTCGAATTGCACCGATTGGCCAGTCATCTCAATCGAAACAAAAACATTTAGTAGACTGGGGACTACCTTAGAACGATCGGGATGATTATCGAAGACATGGGAAAGGAATGTAGTACCAGCAGCTGATTGTTTTTTAAGGAACAACTCCAGGGCCTCTGCCAATTTAGCTCGTAAGTGTGGGTTTTTAACGTATTCAGGTGCACCCATAAAGAGAATTATCATTTTGAAGAAAGCCTCGTGGGACGATGGATAGAATTCTATGAAATGTCCGGGGGCAAAGTGACGATGAAAATTAAGATACGATATGATGTTGTCCACAATATTTTCTGGAATACACCGCAGTGTGTGTGGTACAAATTCAATTTTATACGGCAAATTTTTGTCAAGTCTCTTAACTGGTGCGAACTCCTGCATCTGTTCAAGTTGATCAGGCGAAACAAGCGCTACTTCTACTAGCCAAATAGCAGACGCTTCAAAAAACTTCGTCAAAGTCGTGTCATTTTCCGGCTCCATCAGGCAGTTTCTCAAGCACAGAAATTTTTGCAAGTGCTGTTTCAGCAAACGCATCAAATTCTTGGCCACATCATTGTTGGGATCTGTACTTGCTACATCCTGATATGTCGACTGAAGATTTTGCAGTTCCCGAGTCATTTTGGTGAATCGTTCAATGCAAGGCCTATAGCTTAGTTCATAGGCCTTATGGGTTAGAAAGAATATCTCCGTTACAAAATTGAATTTAGCCGCTGTTATTCGCTTTTCATTTTCTTGACTGGGCAATAAAGCAGTTTCTTCAGAGGCCTTGATCATACTGACTAGTTTTTGCTCGCGTTCGTCGTCAGGCACTCCACAATATGTCGGATCGACCATCAGCACCTTAAAAATAAATGGGAATGAGTAACCAGAATACCAAACAATATCTGACATTTCGGCCAAACCTACAAAATATGTTTAATCGGACGGTGCTCTTACTTGAGACCTTATAAAACGAGGACCAGACATTTGTTTGTTCATTTAAGCCATGGAGAAACCCCAAGATAATCCATATTTTTTCAACGTTAACAATAAGTGAAGGTCACCAATGTTCAAAACCAACAAATTTTAGTAGACAGCATTACCGAGGTCAACAATATAATGTAAAGAAAAATCCGTGAAAAAATGTGTCAAAAATCATCAAAATACCGAATATCGGGAGGTACCGTTATATGGGGGCTATACCAAAACATAGACCTACACATGCAAAGTTTCACCACCGGAGCTAGAACCCATTATGACCAACAAATACCAATTTTTCGACAAATCCATGAAAAAATGTGGCAAAAATCATCAAAATACCGAATATCGGGGTTTACCGCGGACCGATATATCTCATTTTTAATACCAACCATCCTAGACACAATACAAATTGCTAAATTTTGACGCTCTACGTCAAAAAATGTGGCCTGTATCGTGATTTCAACAGACAGACAGACAGACGCACATCGTTAAATCGTCTTAGAATTTTATGCTGATTATAAGTATATATAAATTATGGGGTTTACGAAGAATATTTGGGGATGTTACAAACGGAATGACAAAGTTAATATACCCTCCTTTCCAAGGTGGAGGGTATAATTAATGTGCATTATATGACATGAATATTGATAAACGGAATTTACTAGAACTTAATGGCATGGTGGGCCAACCATATTATACCCAACACAACTTAAATTTGCAGTTGTTTCTATAAATCTGAAACCTTTATGACCATAAGCGAATCCTTAAATATATTATGATTCTTATTTGGAACACTTAAAAGAATCATTCCTAAAAGTTTATCTTTTCGCCACGCAACATTTCGTGGCAATATTCACAACCTCAGAACGCAAATAGTTATTGAGAAAAGTGTGATTTCTTCTCTCTCGAGAGTAACAATGGCAAAAAGTAAACGAACAGCACCTTGAAAAACATTTGTAAGATAACAGCTTATTCAGCAATTCATCTTTGGCGCAAATTAAATGAAAGGAAGCACCACCAATTTTACATGTTTTATAAATAAAAAGGAAAAAGCAATTAAATAACAAGTAAAAAAACATTAAGTTCGGCCGGGCCAAACTTTTAATACCCTCCACCCTAGGGTAAAAGAACATTAGAAGAAATGTGGCAAAAAACATTAAAACATATCGGGAGGTACCGTTATATAGGGGCTACGTGCACCTATAATTACAATGTTTCGCCACACGAACTAGGACCCATTATGACCCACAAATACCAACTTTTACACAAATCAGTGAAAAAATGTGGCATAAATCATCAAAATACCGAATATCGGGAGGTACCGTTATATGGGGACTATACCAGAACGTGGACCTATACATGCAATGTTTTGCCACACGCTCAGGGACCCGTTGTGACCTACAAATACCAATTTTCAGACAAATCCGTGAAAAAATGTGGCATAAATGATCAAAATACCGAATATCGGTAGGTACCGTTATATGGGGGCTATACCAAAACGTGGACCTATACATGCAATGTTTTGCCACACGCTCAGGGACCCGTCATGACCTACAAATACCAATTTTCAGATAAATCCGTGAAAAAATGTGGCATAAATCATCAAAATACCGAATATCGGGAGGTACCGTTATATGGGGACTATACCAGAACGTGGACCGATATATCTCATTTTCAATACCAACCATCCTAGAGACAATACACACACTTGTGCCAAATTTCAAAGGTCTACGTCAAATAATGTGGGCTCTATCGTGATTTCAACAGACAGACAGACAGACGGACAGACAGACAGACGGACATCGCTAAATCGTCTTAGAATTTTATGCTGATTATGAATATATATACTTTATGGGGTCTACGACGAATATTTAGAGGTGTTGCAAACGGAATGACAAAGTTAATATACCCTCCTACCCATGGTGGAGGGTATAAAAATAAAATAAACAATAGATCACATCTGATTTAATGTCGATGAATGAGAAGAAGAAGAGTTGCAAATGATTGCAAGAAGAATTTTTTCCAGCAAAGAATTTGCAAACTCTCACTGAAAGAACTGTCAAAATTTCTCTCTCCAACCGCTCTCTTTTGCAGAACTTTCGGGTTAACAGACGACTTCCAGTAACAATTTGTAACAATTGTTACAAATTTTAGGGTAACCAGACACACCTAATTCCTGCAGGAAAAGTAAGCAGACACACCTATTGATTTGGCAACAAAACAGCTGTTTTTAAATCGGCTTATGTTAATTGATAATAGGTATGTCTGGTTACTTTTTCTTCAGAAATTTGGCAACAAAACAGCTGTTTTTAAATCGGCTTATGTTAATTGATAATAGGTATGTCTGGTTACTTTTTCTTCAGAAATTGTTCAACAACTTCTTTCTGAGAGAGTGAGGTAGTTTTATTCTCTTTTGAAGGAAAACTATGAAAAGTAAACAGATGGATTCCCTGATTCCCTGATTCGCAAGCAATAAGCTGATCTATCAAAACAAAGCAATTTGTCTGCAAATAAAAGAAATTAAGAACACAAAAATTAAAAATGAATCGAAAAAAAAAAAAAAACAAAACAATTGTGATTGCGTTTTTCAATATAAATATTTAAAACAAAAATGCCCAAATATACATCACCGGAAGGAGAAGAAGGAGTGTTGTATTTGCAAACTCTGTGAAAGAACTGTCAAATTTGTCCTCTAAAATCACTCTCTTTTAAGAATTTTTGTGTTAACAGAAGACTTCCAGTAACAATTTGCAACAAATGTTACAAATTTTAGGGTAACCAGACACTGAGTACATTTTTAACATTAAATATTGCAAAAAAAAAAAAAACTCGAAAACAACTCAATACCTAGGCAGGAGGTTCTACGATAGCGGATTCACTCGAAACGACAACATCCCAGTTTAGGTAAGAGACTTTCATGTTCGTGTTTGTCTATTTTTCTGCGTTGAGAGCAGCACATCCCGGTATGTTTGTTCCGGATTCTATTGGTTCGTGCGGGGACGGAAGAAACCCAGGACCTTGGTTCGTTGCGATGTGCTGCATGTAAGATGTGCTGCAATACCGCAGCATCTTACGCCACATGTTGCTGTTCTTACTTCGGATTGTGCACCGTTTTTGAAATTCAATTGCAACGGACTCCGAGGCAAAATAAATGAGATAGGGGAGTTTATGATTCGGAGGAATATTAAGATCGCAGCGGTGAAGGAAGCCAAACTCAAAGAAAATTGCAGCCTACAACGTTGTTATGGTCACAATGTATTAAGGAAGCATCGGACCAGAAGTGAGGGTGGGGGATTAGCGTTCCTGTTACACCAATCTGTTTAATACAGACCTATCTCGCTTGCGCTAGTCTCTAGTAGTCAAGTGTGGAACTACTGCGGTCGAGGTACTTAAAGTGAATATTCGGCCGATTAATAGCTATGCACTGCGTTATTTGCCAGATATAAGCTCATTTTTGGAAGACAATAACCGCCTGGTACTAGGGAATTTTAATGTCCACCTTGAGTTGTGGCATTCCGTCCTAGGTAATGACCAGAGGGGATCAGCGCTGGCAGAGCAGATTGACTGCTCCACACGTAAACGAGGATGCCCCCACCCGAATAAGAAAAGTGTCCCCCAACCATAGTGTCAGCCGGTCTGATAAATGACGTGACTTGGCAACCCGTCATTTCTCTTGGCTTAGACCATCTCCCGATAATCGTCGCCATGAGCAGGTCTCCCGATTTCATAACCTCTAAACGCCGCACTTTACTTAACCATGGAAAAGCTCACTGGCCAGAGTTCAGAGAATTCACCAACCTTCGCTTCAGAGAACTGCCCAACCCTTCTGATGTTCGGTTGCAGCCGCTCGATGGTCGTACACCCGAGATGAGACCATATTTCCGAGCAAAGACAGCAGGATTAGCAAATGAGCGTGATGATCTCCATCGTTCTAACCCTACTGACCACAGAATCAGTGATTGACAGTGGAAGTTTACCGGTGGGTACAGGAGCATAAGAAGAAAAATTGGCTTGACCATCTGAAGTGTTGCAACATTGGAACCGATGTGAGTAAGTTGTGGGTAATCGTTAAATCGCTCTCGAACCCTGGGAAAATTATGATGGGACATCAGCCACTTTTATCAACGTAACGGTGACTGACCCGAAGAGGTGCGCGTATTTTAACCCACAATTTTTCGAGCACTCCGAGAACAATAGGGCGAAGCGAAGAGTACTGCGTCCCCACATAGTTCCCGAAGACTTGAAAATGTGTCGAGTGATCCCGCTACTGAATCCAGGCAAGGATGCCAGCAAAGGCGAATCATACAAGCCAATTTCACTTTTGCCGCCAGTAGCTAAGACTCTTGAGGCTTTACTCTTACCCAGAATTAGAGGAAGCTATCCAGTTGCCAACCACCAGCATGGATTCCGACCGCCATTTCCACACATATCAGTAGAGGATTGAACCAAACAAGCTAGTTCGGCCACACTCTTTACCCCATGGTCCGCAGAGATGAGAACATAACTGAATGTGCAGGTCGATAGAAATATAATACCGACCTCGAACTACCTCATGTTCCTGGGGGTCACATTCTGCGACAAGATGAAAAGTGAGAACAAGGTCCTCAAGACGCTAACCGGCAGCACTGAAGTACGGACAAGGAAACCTTGTTGACCTCTTATAACGCGATAGGTCGGTCTGCTATGCGGCTCTAGTGTGGTCTGTGAACACTGGTGCTACGCAGTGGAAGGACATCCAGTCCTGCCAGAATGCTGCCCTGAGAACTTCGACACGGTGCCACCTCATGACACCAGGGGACCATCTACATGAGGAGGCGAAAGTAGCTCCCTTACGTAAGCATAACCATATGATTTCGTTGCAGTACCTGATACCACCATCATATGGTGGATAAAACTCTCCCATCCAGGCGTGTCAGGAAGGACATACATGATCTAGTGAGGGAGGTCCAACTTTATAAGAGAGAGCCTTAATATTAAGGATCCTATCAGGCAGGTCTGAGTGGCATTAATACTGATGCAGTCACAGATGCCATCAGCAATTACAGAATGTATGCCGTCCTCGGTGTAAACACCATCTATTGCAGCTGAAAAATTACAGCTGCCTAGACAAACCAGGGTAGTTTTGGCGCAGTTACAATCAGGATGATGCTGTTGTCTTAGTTCGTCTGCTCGGCGTGAGATTTAGGCCCGCACAATACGCTGCACCCCCTTCAATTGCACTGCCAAACCTACCCAACCCACTCCATTAAGGTAGGCGAATTTTTAAACATGCACCTCGAACCAGATTAGCAGAATCAAACATCTACATGTACTACTACTACCACAAAAACTAACTAGTTGTATTTGAACGACTTAAAATTATATACAGGGTGAGATTAAAAAACTTCAGACTGCTATCACTTCAAAGCCACTCGTCCGACAGATGCTAAAATTATTCCAGTGATATTGTTTACAAACGTATTTTGGTGAGAATTTTCCAGAAAAAAAGTTATTCGTGTTGGTATTCAAGCGTGATAGTGTGATTACTTTATATTTGGCTGGAAACCCACAAGTGGCTAACGTTAGAGCACTCCAGCATTTAAATGTGAATAGATATTTTGTGTCTCGTACCATCGCTCGCTAGTAGCGTACCCGATGTGAAGGAAGTGGACCAAAGAAAACAGCAACATCAGCAGAAGTGGTTCGAAAAGTAAAGAAGCGACATGATCGAAAACCGCGTCGCAGTGGCCGAAAAATGGCTCGTGAGCTGCACATATTGCAATATTCCATTCGGAAATATTGAATAATGAGCTCGGGGTAAAGCCATTGAAATTCCAAAAAGTGCAAGAACTTACACCGCAACTGAAAGAAAATAGACTCAAAAGAGCTATAGAGTTGCTTCGCTTGGCCGAAAGTGGTGAACTGCCGAATGTGGTTTTCTCCGATGAGAAAAACAAACAAAATGATCGTATTTACATGCCAAAGAGGTCAGCTGAAAATGTGCACCTTCGGTTGGCACCAGAACTCAAGCGCCGGCCATGGTGATGGTGTGGACTGCGGTAACAGCCGATGGTCGCTCTCCGCTCGTATTAATCGACCGTGGCATCAGAATAAATGCCGAATATTATCGCGAAAATATTCTGGAGGGTGCATTAAAGCCTTGGGCACGCAAACATTTTGGCCGCAGACCTTGGGCCAAAATATCAACATTGGCCGTTGGAAGACCAAAGGTAAAGTTATTCTAAAATTGTCGTAGCTCAGCTGGAAGCTGATTATAGATTCGTGCGGAACGAACTATTAAAGATCTTTCATATAGAGACGTAGAAAAATTAGGGAAAATTATTTGCGTATTCCTAGTAGACCGAGAGAACACAAGCCGAACTCGCTGAAAACCGGGAAGATTTAAACCGATACATTTATATAGAAATTAAACCACGCGTTGTTTAACAAAAGTAGAGAATGACACTCCTAGAAAGAGGACTGCATGCGCAGAAATATGGTCAAAACGACGCAAATTATAAACATATCTTACAATGATTTTAAAAAGTTTTTCTAATTTCATTAAATACTCATGTGTTGTACCAGAAATCACTTCAATACAGTAGGAAATTACCGAAAATAACATAGAATGAGCAAGATTTCTCTTTACAAATAAGGGCAAATAGAAATCAGTTGGGTGTAATTTTCGGAGCATATTTATAACTTTGAGGTACAGTGCATCAATATGCAAAGAAAAATGAAGCTTGGCATCAAGAACAACACCTAAACAATTTATGCGGTCAACAAAATCCACTGCTACACCATTAACCTGTATATTAATACCGCTATTCAGTCGGCAAGGTGAACCAAATGTCATTGCTTTTGTCTTAGAAACATTTACTACTAGATTATTATTTCTCAACCAACGTGAAATATAACCTAATGTTGTATTTATGCTATTCTCTAGTTGAAAGTCTGATTGACCTTTAAAAAATAAATGAATGTCGTCCGCATACATAAACGGATGACAGTCGCAACGAAAGGCTCAACATTATCCAGTTTGTAAAAGCCAACAAAGTAATTAGATAAAAAATTGTTTGGTTTCGGAGGGCTCAAATTCTTTGCATGTTTAAAATTATGAGACATGTCATTTACTCAACACCAGTTTACATCGACCCGGGTCCGGGTCTTGGACCCGAACTATCGGGTCAAAATAAAAAAAAGACCTACCACTGGAAAAATCTAAAAAAAAAATTTAAGAGTTTTTACTAAAGTGAAGTGAAGCCTAATTTAATTTCAGGCCTAAGAGCCAATAACCCGCGCCCACTTTGCAACTTTGGCGAAATTTCTTTTAGCACACGCTGAAAGCAGTCCATGTTAAATCTGAAGTAATTTTAAATTTAATTAAGTACATATTTTAAATAAATTAATTGAAATATATACTTGGAGTCAGATATGTAACGCATTTATAATATTCATGTTTTCCCCATATTTTTTTTTTTTCAAAATACAAAAAAAGTTTTATCTTTTTTTATCAATAACAAGGGAGTGTTGCCAACGTTTTTTTTAAGTGGTTGCCAGCTTTTATTTTAATCTGTCGATGTCGCTTCTATGCCTTACCGTAATACCATTTTTGGTTCGAAGCGACTTGCACATAACGTCGACGACGACAATAGAAACGACAACCGTATTTGGGCCGAATAATATTCTTTAAAGAGGTATCAATAAGAGAACAATTTGAGTCTGACCTCCCAAATAGCAGGGATGTTGGGAAAAACATTAAATCTACTTCAAGGAGCCATATCTTGTGTGTTACCATATCGACATTTTAAAAGCGAGGAGATATCACAGCGTCTAGATTGGAGACTAAATCCGGGAGGGTCCTCATCTCTCTACCTGCCGTATGAGCGACTCTACCCCTCCGGCCGAGAAGTAGAAAAGCTGCTCACGGAGCTGGGTAGCAAAGGGCATCATCAGTTGTGATGACAACGCTCACCACTTTCAATGGGGCAGCAAAGATACTAACACCAGAGGTGAGTCTATTTTTTTTGATTTTTTTATAAAGTATAATCTGAAAATATGTAATAGGGGCAATGATGCAACATTTCAAATTGCGGATATAGAGAAGCATCGACCTCACCCTCATCAACATGGTTGAATCACTTATGCTAGATTGGAAAGTATTGCCTGAGTGCTACTTTTCGGTTTCACCGGAAGATAAATTTCAAGTTTTCTGTAGAGGGCATTCATCAAAAAGCCCATAGAAACTCAAGGAAGGCGCATTGAGATACATTTGAGGATCTGTCTATATCTAGGCTTCACCGTTTCGGCAATTTAGTCCTAACCTCAACCCTAGATGTAGACAATTCCGTAAATACGCATTGCTTAAGTGCTATGAAAAACTCTGTCCGCTTTCGCACCCAGGCAAGAAATGCCAACCAGTTTGGTGGTAAAAACATTTAGCCAAATTAAGGAGGATTAGTAGGCGTTTACACAATAGGACCACCAAGAGCAAACAACGTACGGACTTGCCAGCAGCCTTTAACAAGCACATTAGTGAAATCAAGGAGGTTAAGCGTACATCTTGGGTATGCTTTACTGAGTCAATAGAAAGCGTCAATAACGCTGCCAGAACTCATTTCGAAGGATCCTAAATCCATAGTATGTATAAAACGATCGGATCGAACAAGTCTCTCATCCTTTTTACTGAAAACCCTATAAAGGTTGATCAGATCTCTATTACTCCCGACTGCCATCAGCTCGACATGAAGGATAAATCCGTTGAAACAACACAGCACTATCTGACTCTGACACCCTGTTCACCTTCACAGTTTTTCTTGGTATCGGGGGAGCCTTCAACAACGTCATAGCTTTCTTTCAAGACTTAATATACCCCAACTCCTCGTCAATTGGATCGATAAAATGCTTATCAGCAGAAACATCAATTCACACATAGACAGACGTACGTCATGAAATCAGGGGAAAATCAGGCGAACGCCGCAAGGCGGTGTTCTGTCACCTCTACTTTGGTTAACGGTCATCAATAGTTTACTTATAGATTTAGAGAAAAAGGGAAAAAATTTGTCGCTTATGCTGACAATCTTGTCCTATTGCTTGCCGGAAAATTCCTGCAAACAATTTTAGATCTAATGCTGGGAGCTCTATCACCTTACCAAGGTGGGCACGCCTCAATGGACTAGGCGTAACAAAAGGACAGAGCATGTTTTCTTTGCGAGGAAACGTAAACATCTTGCCTTCATACCACCGACGTTAGATGGAGTCACGTTAACCCTCTTCAAATTTAGAATCTCAAACCACACATAATTAAATGGTAGTTGAAGATTTACCTTTCATGAAACCATGGTAAATGGGTGAAATTATACTTTTTGGGAGATGAAATATCCTTCGCGAAACTAAGAATTCGAAACACTAACTTTCGGATTTATAAAAGGGAATGACTAGAGCTCGATCTCCAGTACCATGAAAAATTACCTTTAATTAGGGAGCAATAGAAAAAGTTATTAAGATGTATAGCAACACAAACGAAAAGGCTAAAAACAGATTATAGCTGTGGCATAACATAGCGCAGTGGATGGCGTCGTATCCTGATTTTAGTTCAATGAACTAGAATAGTTATTTACTACATAGAATTGACCTAGTTCATACGCTCTTTATTAATAAATAGTTTAGTCGAAATAGATCGTTCGTCATTTATACAACTCTAATCATCTCCAATAGGCTTCTATACCGATCCTAGATCTGACCGTATGCAAAAATTCTTCCGAGATCGGATCACTATCAATCCACCTGTGGAGTGATTACAATTCAGTATGGAAAGTCGGACAGACGGTTTAGGGTAATCGTCGTTGTTTTACTTTGACACAATATTATGCAATGCAGTGCAATGACACGTTACAAAGGGGAATACCTTTGAAGCCTGTTTTGGTAACTACAATGCTATAATCAAATGAAATTCATGAAATGAGAATTTTTGGCCTGAATTTATCTACCAAATTCTTTAGCTTGAAGACAGATCCTGTGTTCGGTAAAACCATTATAAAAAGCCACCTTTCCAGTTGGAATGTTTTTCAAGTTATACTAATGATTTTACATTTTTGCTCTGTTCCAGAACAGAAAGAATTTAAATTATTTTACAACGATAACCAATTTTTCCTTTATGATATCGAAAAAATACAAAAGTAAAAAATTCTTGCAAGTCCTGGAACAGAGCATTTATTTTCTCACGAACAACTTTAGTAAAATGTCTTACCTTCATCGTTGGCTCACACAGAGGCGCACATAACCGTAATAAAACTGATGTGAGCCCTAGCATGAATGCATCACTTGCATTTTGATGAACAAAATTTTCAATGCCAGCATTTAGATTATTCCACAGATGCCCACGAGATACATTGGCATGAAGGCACTTGGCGATCCACTGTAACATCTTTTGCTTAGTTGTTGCACTTTGTACCAGCAGCTGTTTTATAAGACTGAATGTGTCATTTTGATGTCTGAACAAAATTTGCCAGAGTGCAGAATCAGAACTTTTGGATTCTAAGCTTATATCGTTGAAATATTCATATGGTCCATTCTGATTTTTCGGCATAATCGACAAAGAAAACAAACTGCCGAACAAAGTATCCATATAGGCCCCTCCTAAAATTAAAGGGCTGCAAATAAATCTGGTTCACGTTTACAAATGAATTGCGTTCGCTTACCTGTGGTATTCGGATTTGGTATTGTAAAGTCTATAAGTACCTCTCCCATCTGTGGTATACGTTTATCGCGAACAAAGAAACTCAGAAGCCAAAACACATCACTTCGAACGGTAAGCAAATTGGATTGACTAATGTTGGTTTGAATTTTACTAAGCAAGGGATAAAAATTAGCCTTCAGCGCTCCCAATGCCTCTAAAGGCTCATCATCTTCGTAAATTTTTTGTATACATTCAACCAGGAAATCCATTGTCTCTGTAGTATTTTTGTCTTTTGACGCGAGCATGATTTTTTTCCACTGCTTCCAGATTGGTTGACCCGGATACAAATCAGGTTGACGCATACAAGTACTTCCATTTGTAATGATCAGCGAACGTATCTTGTCGTGGTCTGCTGTTCGATGAGGTTGGGTCGATTTAAGCCTTTGACATGACAAAAAGGACCGATGTAAATAGATGATAGGGTCAACTTGCAGAGCATCATCCTCGTCCTCTCCATGGATCAAGTATTCTTTTGTGTCAGTTAGCATTAGCCGTTCGAATATTGCATGGGACAATAGTTCCTCTCCCATTACACCATCCTCCCCAGTGTCGCATACAATAACATCCGCTAAACATAAAACAGCCTTCCTGGACTTAGACGAATGCAGTGATGATTGTTGGTCTTTTTTCAGTGTGAATAAAAATATCTCTTCGATTAAGTTCTTGTCTATTCCCGACTTAGACTCACTCAGCAAGGCAGCAAAAGGATTATCAGCGTTTGCCATTTTTATGAGTTATACTTAAGATATCCAATCGAACAATTTTTTTCCAATTCGATTAAATATTCCCACAAACACACGAAGCCAACACTCACCAATACACTAATACATAAAGCAAAGAGTTGTGAATGAAGGAAGAGGCAAATCGACGATAACCTACGAATATTGGAGGAAGCAAGCTATAGAAAACAGCTGATGATAATTTTAACAATCGACTTCAGTCATGTTGTTTAATGCTAAGTTCACATGGCACGTGATTCGCTCTCTATTCTCTATGAAATATCTACTTGACTCCCAACACATATGCTCTGTTTCAAAACCTGGAAGAATCTACTATTTTTACAATTTTTTCGATATTATAAAGGGGAAATCTGGAACCGACTAAAAACTTGCTGAGCAAACTAGGATTTTTGTTCTTTGTTCCATTCATGGTAGAAGAATATAGGTAGATGCATGGTACAATGAATTCAAGGTAGGGCAGAACTACCATATGATTTAAATTTTTTTATTTTTCTGGCTTAATATGTCAACTTCATTTGTATTTTTTTGTGTATTTTTTTCAATAATAAAAAATTGTTCAGAAAATACAAATTTGGGTGTTTTCAAAATACTTTTCAAAATACACACACTTATTGTGTGTGTCTTCTTTTCAAAATTACAAAATTGTTCAGAAAATATTCAAATTCGGGTGTTTTCAAAATGCTTATTGCAACGAAAGCATCGACAAAATCTACAGTTTTTGTCGCGAAATAAACCATAAGAGATATATAGAACATGATATTGAAAAGAAATTTTGACCATTCATTCAGTTTTCGCGGTTTTAAATTATTTATTCAAAATCAATGCAACAAGTTGTTTGCTTTTTTATTGTTTTGATAGTAATTCTGACATTACAAGCCAAACAGGTAGACCTCTATACTTGCAATTTTTTCAAAGTTGACCTACCTTCTCTTCATTGTACCATGGGTAGATGCATGGTACAATGAATTCAAGGTAGGGCAAAACTACCATATGATTTTAATTTTTTTATTTTTCTGGCTTAATATGTCAACTTCATTTGTATTTTTTGTGTATTTTTTTCAATAATAAAAAATTGTTCAGAAAATACAAATTTGGGTGTTTTCAAAATACTTATTGCAACGTATGCATCGACAAAATCTACAGTTTTGTCTCGAAATAAACCATAAGAGATATATAGAAAATGATTTTGAAAATAAATTTTGACCTTTCATTCATTTTTCGCAGTTTGAAATTATTTATTCAAAATCAATGCAACAAGTTGTTTGCTTTTTTACTGTTTTGATAGTAATTCTGGCATTACAAGCCAAACAGGTAGACCCATGGTAGAAGAATATAGGTAGACGCGTCGACACAGCTGCTGGGACAATGAACTGTCAAACCAATTTTGGAATTGAAAATGTTGAATGAAAAATTATTTAAATTTGTAAAAATTGTTGAAAAACGCGAATTATAATAGCCTCCGAATGACGTAGATAAGAAAACATATAAAAATCTACTTATATTTGAAAAAAACATTTAATTTTTTTGACATATCAATGCTCCCAAGCGTTGATGCCGCTACCTGTATTCTTCTGCCATGGTTAGACCTCTATATTTGCAATTTTTCCAAAGTTAGCCTACGTTGTCTTCATTGTACCATGGGTAGATGCATATATATATATATATATATATATATATATATATATATATATATATATATATATATATATATAAATGTTCAGAAAATATTCAAAATCGGTTGTTTTCAAAATGCTTATTCGACGGACCCATGTTTTTTTTTTTAAATCAAAGAAAAAAATTGCAACATTCTTTGCGTCAATTGAATTTTGTACGGGAACAAATGCAAATCAATGCGAATAATCCGTTGTAAAGTGGACCGAGCCATGCTCAACTGCTGATAACGGCGTTTTTGGGATGTTCTTGGGGACCTCTCAACAGCGATATTCTCGGCCGATCGTCTTGGTCGACTTTTATATGGCCTCTTCGGATTAGAAAGAGCGAAGAGGCCATATATATATATATATATATATATATATATATATATATATATATATATATATATATATATATATATATATATATATATATATATATATATATATATATATATATATATATATATATATATATATATATATATATATATATATATATTTCTGTATATATATAAATATAAATGTTCTGTATATATATAAATATAAATATATATATAAATGTTCAGAAAATATTCAAAATCGGTTGTTTTCAAAATGCTTATTCGACGGACCCATGTTTTTTTTTTTAAATCAAAGAAAAAAATTGCAACATTCTTTGCGTCAATTGAATTTTGTACGGGAACAAATGCAAATCAATGCGAATAATCCGTTGTAAAGTGGACCGAGCCATGCTCAACTGCTGATAACGGCGTTTTTGGGATGTTCTTGGGGACCTCTCAACAGCGATATTCTCGGCCGATCGTCTTGGTCGACTTTTATATGGCCTCTTCGGATTAGAAAGAGCGAAGAGGCCATATATATATATATATATATATATATATATATATATATATATATATATATATATATATATATATATATATATATATATATATATATATATATATATATATATATATATATATATATATATATATATATATATATATATATATATATATATATATATATATATATATATATATATATATATATATATATATATTTCTGTACTTTTACGAAGCTATTCTACCTCCTTAAGGTAATTTATTTCTTTTTGTGCCCTTATTATGGCAAAACAAATACACTGTTATGATCCGTCTGATGGAGCTGGGCGTTATGTCTTTATGGACGGACAGGCTCAGGCGAGGCATATTTACGTCAGGGTGTCCTCAACTCTTCCACCATCAGCCATAGGGGTCAGACAATCAAAAAGGAGGTACTTGAAACAAAAAACAAATAAAACAACAAGATAAAACGACAAACACTTCATCCACACTTCCACTATATAAATAAGTAGTAATTTAAAGGGCCCCAAAATCCACTAACACTTACCACTCAGTTACATACAGCCTAGGTCCCTCTCTCACAAAGAAACACTTAAGAGTTCATATTACAAAACATAAATCAAACATAAAAACAATTTATTCTCATATTTGTCTTAAACCTAACGATTAAATTTACACACAACAAAATTTTTCACAAATTCCTAACACCTATAATTTTTGTGTGTCATTGCTCAGGCAACCACCAAATAATCTTAGGACTAACGATTTTTGCCAAATCTGGCCGATAAACTAAACCTTACAAATTCCCTAAAAGTGCTCTCTTAGTAATTTTTAATGGACATTACTATTCAGTCCACACAAACATTTAATTAGTCCTACTTAACTGGGGTAACTCTACACTCACGTTTTCTTCCTAGGTGTTAAAAATCCTAACAAATTGATAAATAAGGCTTATGTACTAACTTATAAATTAGGGGCGTTCACACGAATACTAACTTTAAAACATAGATATAATTTGGTTCAATTTGTTCGTCGCTGTTGTTTAGTTTTTGTTGTGTTTTTTTTTTTTTTTTTTTTGCTATTATCAATATATATTAAAGTGATGTCTTTTTTGGTAATTTTTAGATGTCTTCAACTAGCGCTTCATGATGGCGTTTGGCGCTATTTCCGTGCCATTGGAGGCAAATGCTAATTTGTATGGAGAATCAAGGCTCTTATGGTATGTATAAAAATGTTACCTTATATCGCCGGTACTTATCGACTTTCTTCTCCTTTTTAGACAACAGACATGCACGGGATCAATTTTCAGCACACAAGTTTGGCTGTTGGTTTCTGGCCGATTTTTTTCCCAAAAATATGGATTGACCACCAAAACTGCTGACCACCTCCAGGAAGATGCCTGGGGGGGCCAATATTTCCAGAACAGGGTTAACGTTGGTGCGATCCCTGAACACAATGGAGATTTTAACACAATACAGATTATAACATAATTTGCATTTAACTTACTTATAGTTATTTCGCACGAACACATATATTAAAACACCATTGAACACAATAAAACAACCACAATTTGTATTACTTAAATCAATTATAATTTTAACCTTGCGGGCTGCACCAATGGTACTCCTTTACAACAAACAACAAAACGACTTAAACGACATTTTCCCCGCTGAAGCCAAAAACCAAAGCTTCTATTAAAAATAATTATTCCCCACCGGGGAAAAGTATTAGTGCTATCTCACACATTTGCACCCTATTTTATCAAGGAGTATCTTGGGAAATCCCCAAAAGGAAGGAAACAGATATTCAATGTCGCAGATGTCAAGGATATGGACACATTGCCCCATATAACTGTGTTAAATGCAAAGAGAAACATGCTCCCGGAGAATGTCAACGATCTCCTACAGATTCCTCAGACCCATATTGTGTGAATTGTGACCAAACTGGACATCCTGCAAATTGGAGGGGTTGCCTAGCATACAAAAAATATGTTGATTCCAAGCAAAAAAGGAACGCCAAATCAGCTGAGGTAAGAATTACTGCCCAAAATAACGTAAATAAAGCCTTGAGCTTCTCATATTTGACACCTGGCAAATCCTTTGCCAATGCATTAAAGCCACAATCATTGAATAAATGTAGTGAGAAGCCTCATATCGTTGAACAATTCCTTGAGCTAGCTACACTTTTTTTAGACTCTGAGGAACTAACACTGGAAGAGGAGATATGTCGATTTCTGTCGCAATATTCAAAAATGTCAAAGATTGAAGCCAAAAGAGAGTTTTTGAGACTTCTAAATAAAGTTAGAAACACGTATGAACCATAAAATTATGACTTAATTAACTTTTAATGTAAGATCACTTGTAGATAGAAGTCGACAAGTAGAACTGTATAAAACCCTCAATCATAATAATGTAGACATTGCCTTCATTTAAGAAATTCGCCTGAATAAAAAACGTAGAGTGAAAATAACAGGGTACAATGTGATACATGATCACTCATCTGTGGGAGTCGCTATCGTCTTGAAGGAATCAATTCATTATAATCCGATTATTATTGACGATGTTGGGATTTGTTGCTACTTAGCCCAAATTGTCATTAAAAAATAATAATGTCAAATAATGTCATTAAAAAATATGTACTAGGATCAATCTACATACCCTGCAATTTTCCTTCCCAAAACATTGAAAAAGATTTAAACACGATTTGTCAATTACTTGAAAATTATGATGGCTCCATAATTGGAGGAGACCTTGACTCAAAAAATCCAGATTGGGGAGACAGTTGCGAAAATTCCAATGGCAGACTTGTTAAGAAGTGGTTAGACAATAACTCAATGGATGTCTTACGTTTGTGCGATTCGACGCCGTCATTCCCAAGCGGTCTCTCCTACCTTGACCACTTTTTGATAAGTAAAAAACTTATCGACAACAATAGCAGAAATTTTTCAATATCGTCTCTTCCTACATTCTCTGAGCATTTCCCTCAAAGGATGAAGCAAAAATTAGAAACTTCAGAAATTGTAATAAAACCACCTCTCACTTTCACTTCTTACAAGCACACAAACTGGAATAGTTTTCGCCAAGATATGACTGTGGAAATAAACCGCATAACGCCACCAATGGACTCAAACTTAGATAATGAGAGCTTAGATACAATTATTGAGGAATTTAATAACTCATTCACTGCAGTACATGCGAATCATTCCAGAAGAATTGAAATTAAAAATGGGAAATTTCCAATATCAGAAAAAACTGAAAAGCTGCAACACCAATGGCAGAAAAATCTTAAGAAAATTTTTCACCGGACAGGCAACAGACTGAGTCAAGAATACAATATCATTTCAAAGCAAATCCATTATTAAAAATAATAATAAAAGAAAACATCGACTTGGAACAAGCGAAACATTTAAGTAATCGATTGCAGTCCATCAAATCTAATCCTGCAGCATTGAAAGAAGGTTCACGAATAATAGGAAGCAAAAACTTACCATATTGTAAACGTTTACGACACAATGACAACATCTTAACAAATCCTAGTGACATACCTGAACAATTCCAAAGTTACTACACGGCAGTTTTCAGTCGCAGAGATTCTATCCACCCAGTTGGAGATTTATGTTCGAGGGTATCATCGGTTATTAGCCCAATCCCTCAACGCATCTATACGTTCAATAATGACTTCAATGCCTACTCCTGAAAAGATAAAATCCATAATTCAGAATATTAATAACAAAAAATCCAGCGGTTTAGACGGTATTTCCAATTTTTTGATTAAGAAATTCCCAGAGAATCTTATTCCGTTTCTCACTATATTGTTCAATAACTGCATTAATAATGGTTACTTTTCCAACAGTTGGAAGAAGGCGAAAATAATTCCCATAAGAAAGAAACCTGATTGCGAAGTTACATCTGATTTTCGTCCAATATCAATGCTCTTAAACATCGGAAAACTATTTGAACGGGTTCTGAAAGGAAAAATGGAAAACCAGTTCAATGTAATTCCAATATCAGCCTACCAATTTGGGATCAAACAATTTCATTCGACACAACATGCTCTTCTTAAATTCCAAAGTGATATGACATCGAATTAAAAAAAAAAAAAACAAAAAACAAAACTGTACAATCGCTATATCATTAAATATAGAAAAAGGCTTTCGACACGGTTAGCCACAGCGGAATTTTATATAGGTTTGTGGAATTAGAAATTGACCCAAACATGGTAAAGATAATCCAAAGTTATTTAACAAGTAGACATTTTTAAGTTCACATTCAAAAGAAGTTTTCATCCTGGCAACCTTTTTATTTACACTGTTCCTGCATAACTTTCCGCACACAACAAGAAACTGTCAGGTAATGCTTTATGCAGATGACTGCTTGATATATTCGCACGACAGTTCACCAAAACGACCATGTTACATCATGCATCTCATCTTACAACAATCGATGAATATTACAAAACATGGGGTACTGGTACAGACATACCGTTCTTAAACAAAATCAGATATATGGTAATAAACTTTGACAAGTTGATGAAATTTAACAAACATGCGCGGACAACACTACAAAAAGCATACAGAGTAGCCGGATCATTTTCTAACCTCCTTAACAATCGCCACATGCCCCAAAAAACCAAAATTTTACTTTATAAAGTGACCATTAGGCCCATCATAGTTTATGGATTTCTGATCTTGTTCACTATCTCACCGATAGTGGCAAAGGAGTTGGAGATTCTTGATTACATCACCAGAAGTTTTAAAACATTTGACAAAGGATTCTAGTTATAATATCAAAGACGCGCTGGATCTAAAAGACAGAATTAAAGAAGTAAAAATTGAAGAGGACGAAATCTTATTATCATTTGACGTTGTATCGCTGTTTCCCAGCATACCTATACATTTAGCTTTGAAGACAATAACAGAAAAATGGGACATTATTAAAACACATACACAAATTCCGAAGGACCTCTTCATAGAAATACTGACTCTTTGTATAAAAGAATCAAGATATTTTATGTATGATGACAAGGTGTATGAACAGAAAAAGGACTTCCTATGGGATCTCCGGCGTCACCGATTATTGCGGATATCGTAATGGAGGAGTTATTGGACGCTACAATGGGAAAAATGATGACAAAGCCAAAAATATTGATTAAATATGTTGACGACCTATTTTGCATTGTAAAGAAAACGGAAATTGACAATACTTTAAATGTTTTAAACTCCTATGATAGAAATGTGCAATTTACCCACGAAAGCGAAGAACAAGGAAAGCTAGCATACTTGGACGCCCTTATAATTAGACAAGGCAATGAACTGATCCTTGATTGGTATCAAAAACCGACAGCTTCAGGACGACTTATCAACTATTATTCAAAACATCCAAGACGAATAAAAATAAATACAACCGTAAATTTTATTAAAAGGGTACATAGCATAAGCGACGAAAGATTTCAACAAAAAAACGAACAGCGAATACGTAATATCCTTCAAAACAACGACTTTCCGAATAACACTATTCACGATCTTATAAAAGGCGCAAAAAACAATAACAAAATCAAAACGAGGGATACAATGGAAAAATTTTATATGCCAGTTACATACATATCTGGACTTTCGGAGCGATTCTGCAACTCCAACATTTATAATAAGGACAAGTATCAATTAGCCTTTAAATCGAAGAATAACGTCAACTCTTTATTTAGCAAAACAAAATCGAAAATAAAAAAAGAAGATAAGTGCAATGTAGTATATAAGATAAAATGTGCAGGGGACGAAACTAACATATGCCAGAAGGTATATGTTGGTACAACAAAAAGCAAACTTAAGACTAGACTATCTGGACATAAGTCAGATCAAAAAACGGACAAACCACTAGAACAAAAGACGGCGCTTGCGGCACATTGCACGATGACTGGCCATAAACCAAATTTTAAAGACGTTGAAATACTGACACAAGAAAATAATTATAAAAGACGTTTTATTCTAGAAATGTTAAATATTATAAACATACCAACAGATGTTAGAATGAACTATAAAACTGATACTGACCACTGTGCACACATTTATAGGAACTTAGTTCAAAAGCATAGACAGACAAAAATTTAGTTTAGCATAGACGGTGAAACAAGACTGTTGCTTTTCTCAATAAAAAGTAAAATTGTGTGTTATTATTGTTATCCTAATTGTTAATTGTTTTGTATCTTTGTAGTATTTTTTCCCTGAAGATGACTGTCGAAGACAGTCGAAATATCGGAAAATAAAAATCAAAATTATAAAAAGAAAAACACTGATGTTTTTCAATTGACCTTAAGCCAAAATAAAGTTAATAAGAGAAGTTGTTCGTTGAAAAAATGCAATCTCATGAAAATGATCTCATGAAAGACATATTTGAATTCGAAAGAAATACTCATTGGTCCAACTCAACATATCTGTCCCCCATAGGAATTATCAATGAGAACAGCGTCAACGTAACTGGCCAACAACTACTGCCCCAATTTTATCATGAAACAACACCAGGAACCAATAGGGGCTGAAATGAAAATTACTACAGAAAAAATCGGCTGTAACAACTAGTTGTAATTATTATTCTATGTCAAAATTTATTAACACGAATAGTGTATTACTTTGTTACTTTAACACTCGAATTAGGGGCATATCATTGTTAAAATTATTATATGTACAAAATTTCAGATTTTATTAAAAACATTCTGTTGTAAATTCGTTGTTTTACAGAATAATTGTTAATTAGTATAATTATTAATTAGTTTAAAGATGTTATTACTTTTCTAAGTCGTTATGATACAGTTCAAAAGCGCTGTAAGAGAAAGTGTAAAGGTCTCGAGCAGACCTTATTTTTAGTCATTCATGTTGACATCACTTTGTATTTAATCAACTAATGTGGCGTTTCCACTGCACTTGATTTGCTCTCTATTCGTTGTTTGACCCTTAACTATGAAAAAACTACTTAATTCTTCACACAAAATTTCCTGAGCGAACACTCATATTTGTACATAGTTCAAATCAAATCACTCTCAGAACAACGAAAAAGTATGTCCCATCCCTAAAAAATGAGAGCATTTATCGAAAAAATAAATTATGACATTTAAAAATTAAAACTAAAAAACTTTAATGAAATTTTAAAAATTTTTGGGAAGACTGAAAATTATGAATGAAAACTACAATGTTGAATGGCGTATGTACATTCAAACGAAAGTATATTTTGTTTTCTCTTTCATTAGAGGTACGCATTTTGTCCACGAGTTGAAATTTCCACAGAAAACTGCAAACAAAAGAGGCAATATTTTCAAAATGTTTGTATCTGCAGAAAAAAATGTTGACAAGTGTCTCTCCAGCAAAATTTAAAAATAGAAAAATAAAAAATATGTTCAAAATGTCAAAATTAATACAAAAAGTTGAAAACAT